CTCTACGCATGTGTGCATGAGCTGCAGCACAGCCAATCAAATTAACCAGATTTAAATAAAAAAAGAAGCACATTATTTACATTTTAACATATAACTGCAACATTGATTAAAAAAAAAGACTTGAAATAACTTAAAATTCCAAGTTTCAGACTTCTGACTTGACTCTGACTTGACTGTCTTTGCTTGAGACGTGATTTGGGACTTGAAAATAAAGACGAGACTTGCAAAACAATGACCTGGCCGGTCCTATCTCTGCTATTTGCTTACTTAAATCCAGGTGGTGACTTTTATTTTTGGCCAGGCAGCATATTATGATCTCTCATAATTAAAAAAATGATAATAAATCTTGCAGATTGGCCCTAATACTCTGTCATAGAAAGATTAAAAATAAAAATAAAAATCTTAAAAAAAAGGTGAAAAAGAAAAATAATTGATGCTCATCTTTACGACACACCTATATAAACCTTCCTGTTTCTGTTGACTCTTCCTGTAGTTTTGATAAGGACGGGGATGTGCACTACCTGATCAAGTGGAGAGACCTGCCGTACGATCAGTGCACCTGGGAGGCGGATGATTTTGACGTCCCGGATTACGACATTCACAAAGCTTTCTACTGGGATCACAGGTAGATTAGGAGCTTCCTGCAACCTTTTTACTTCACTCTATGAAGATGGAAATGCGTTTGTGTTCACCATCTGCCCAATTTTCCATTAGTGTTCATAAGTCACCATAAGATGCTCTACGTTTATTTTTCAGAGAGCAGATTTTAGGAGAGGACCAACGCCCTCTTGTGGTAAGAAAAGGAAGGAAACTAAAAGAGGACTACCCAAAAAGAGAGGTCCCCCCTGATGCCCCTATCATAGATGTGAGAAGTTTTACATACTAAAGATATCAGTTTCGTTAGCGTATATAACCTCTACAAGTCTCAATTATATCTTCACACCACCAGCCAACCATTAAGTTCGAGCACCAGCCCTGGTACATTAACGCCACCGGGGGAACGCTGCACCCGTACCAGCTCGAGGGTCTGAATTGGTTGAGATTTTCCTGGGCTCAGGGGACAGATACCATCCTGGCTGATGAAATGGGACTAGGGAAGACGGTGCAGACAATCGTTTTTCTCTACTCACTGTATAAAGAGGTAAGGCTGGGGAAGTGTCTTCTTTTATCATGCTCATATTCCAATCAAAAAGAAGAAGATAGCAAAACTAGTGATACTCAGGCTTGTAATATAAATGGTAATATGTACTTGGACTTATTGCGTTTGGACAAAAAAAAAAGGATAAAAAATGGTTTTCTTTTTTTCTCTGTGAAGAACTACAGCAGAGATTTGAGCTTGTCTTTCCTCTCTCTGTCAGGGTCATTCTAAGGGGCCTTTCTTGGTGAGCGCGCCGCTTTCCACGATCATCAACTGGGAGAGGGAGTTCGAGATGTGGGCTCCGGATTTCTACGTGGTGACTTACACCGGAGACAAAGACAGCAGGGCAACTATCAGGGAAAATGAGTTCACTTTTGAAGACAGTGCAGTGAAATCTGGACGGAAAGTGTTTCGAATGAAGGTAATGTACCCCTTCACAGCTCCTTCTCATGCTTTTTTATACCCTTTGATTACTTGCTGAGTCAGCGTTAATTTTATAATCGAAAATAACTGCTAAAAATGTGAATCGACTTGTATCAATTTCATTGTTTTTGTGTAACAGTTATGTTTTTAAGACAAATTCATTTTATTACTTGATGACCTTTGGTCACAAAAGGATTTGTGATGACAGTTTGATACAAAGACAAAAACGCCGATGTTAAAAGAAAAGAAACATACAGTATTTGGTTATAAATGGCTACAATTCACTTTGTTTCATTCAGTTTAAAAATTTTTAAACAAGCTACGTTTACATATTCTATGCTTTGAACCATTCGTCAAAATGGTTATTATTTCAGCTTTTAGTGTTGCAAATTTTATTTTCTATTTTGCTTGTTTTAACTAAGAATTCACTTTAAAGGGGACATGTACAAAATCCACTTTTTTAGCTGTTAAATATGTTTTGTTCTTGACTTGGAGACTCTAGGRGTGCAGGGAAGTTGAATTTAGTTTCTCGTGGWGCAGCAAAGATATCTTTATATTCTGTTTAGTCAGATTTTTTTATCCCGTTCAATGGATGGATGGATTTTCTGAGCTACTGCATGAAATTATCTGCAATGTAATTACCAAATAAGGTCGGGACTTACCAATTACAATTTCCTCGTCTTAATTCTCCTCTGGTTCTGGGTCAGACTCTGGTTCTGGGTCAGACTCTGGCTCCAACATGCAAGGCTGGATGGACAAGTCTTCTGTTGTTGACATCTTTTAACTAAATTGTAAATAAAATGTTTCTGCAAGCTAGAAAACTACGTAAACCCCTCTCTCAAACCGGAGTGGACCGGTCTGGAAGCCGGAGGGGGGCGGGGCTTGAAGTATCTTAAAGGAACATTATCAAAAGCAGCTGCTTTGAGACACACAGCAGAGAAGAGGTGAAAGAGGAGCTGGTAAAGTTGGAATAAGGAGGAATTCAAATCAAARCATTGTAGTTCCGTTTTATAAAGAGCCCAACTGAATGATTTAAATGTGAAAAGGAAGGATTTAAAAGCAGGATATGTCTAATACATTTCAGCAGCCATACAAGATCCACACTACACTTTTACAGAAAAAAAGCAGTTTTTCTCGTTTTTTTTTTTACTTGTAATTGACCGATAAATAGGGGTGGTGATCCATTTTTCTTTATGGTTATAAACCAGTTAACTGTATTCTTTATGGCCTCCGTCCTGCAGAAAGACACTCCGATCAAGTTCCACGTTTTGCTGACGTCATACGAACTGATCACCATAGATCAAGCCATTCTGGGCTCCGTCACCTGGGCCTGTCTGGTTGTAGATGAGGCCCACAGACTGAAAAACAACCAATCAAAGGTGAAAAAGCTGTGAGACACCTCATTTGAAGCATAAACTGGAAAATAAATCGTGAATTAAATGCGTTGAAATTTCAGTGAAAGACAATTGGAGTTTTAATCACTTTGCTCSCACTCAGTTTTTCAGAATCCTCAACGGGTACAAGATCTACTACAAGCTGCTGCTCACCGGAACGCCCCTGCAGAACAACCTGGAGGAGCTCTTCCATCTACTTAACTTYCTCACCCCAGAGCGCTTCAAGTAAGTGCTGCTTTTTACCACTCACACCCATCCCATTTTCCAGTAGACACATCAACAGATCAACCTCGGCTGGCTTTGCACCAGGAATGTAGTTTGTGCATAAAGTGTGTGGAACGTTTGTGTTTTCATATTGGCTCTCATGTCAAGAGACTCACCATCTGCATCACATGTGACTCCGCCAAGTTTGAGGTAAACGTTGGGGAAGCAATCACACTTAGCTAGTTTGATTTTTAATTTAATTTCTGCGTGAAGCCAATATGTTATAACATGTAAAACTATAATAATATGTATTAACTAGAGGAACTGCATTTCCTGCAAAAATGCTAGTGAATGCTTCATGCTTGAAAACTTAAGCTGAAAGCTGCTGAAATTGAGCTGAAAATATTGAATAAGAAATGTGTTAACGTGAGCTCACTTTGAAAAGCTGAMAGAAGCAAACAAGCCTAACTTTGCAGAAAAACAGTAAAAAGGAGCACAAAACTAGTTGTAACCAGAAAACAGCTAAAAGCTAAGAGCTAAAATAGTTTAATATAGCTGAAAACATCTGTAAGAACCATAAATAGCACTCAATAGCAGAAAAAAGCAGAAAAAGTAGAAAAAAGCACAAGAACAACAGAAAGAAGCAGATCTATTTCTAAAGTAGCATAAAATAGCTACAGTTAGCATAATATAAGCTAAAGATAGCAGCCGCAATTTGAAATTAGCACCCAGTTGAAATACTTATTGTTGAAAAATGGCTAAAACAGAAAAACAACAGAAAAAAATCATAAAATTACATAAAAATGATAACTAAAACAGCTGAAATTTTCAGTCAAACAGCTAAAAAGTAGCTGCTAATGTTTTAATTAGCATAAGGAGGTATAAGCACAAGTTCGCTGAACTCAGTCGAAACAATTTGTAATAGCTACAAAACGTGTATTTACCTTAGAAAAGCTAACGTTAGCTAATAGCAGCTAAACGTTAGCCAAAATTTCAGCAAATAGCTGAATATRGCAGAAATCATCTGTAAGAAGCATAAATAGCACAAAGTAGCAGAAAAAAAGGCACAAAAAGTAAAAAAGGCAGAATTTTAGCTGAAATAAAAAAGCTAAAATTAGTAAAAAAAAATAGTAGCTAAAATTAACTCAAGAAAGTGAAAAAGAGCACAACTAGAAAAAGTTTTGTAAGGTTTTGTAAAGATTTAGAAACATTTTAAAGGATTTTAAGGATGTTGAAAACAGCTCCATTCATATTCAATGGCATAAAAGTGGCTAAAAAAGTGAAATAGCTAAATAAGTATAAATAGCTGAAATACCAAAAGTCATAGCACCCATCACATGAATAAGCTGAAGGTTTTGATATATGAACTGTTGAAATAGCACAAAAACTGTGGAATGAGTTAGATGCCGATAAACGTAAGGAAGAAAAAGTGATCTCAGTGTGAATGCGATGAAGCATTCGCACAAATAACTGCATTTATGCAGTTTATTGCACATGATTGGTGATTTGTCTAAATTTCCTTCTGGTCAACTTTCAAATATTTTATTTTCAAWTCTTAACAAAAACGTGTGTTTTGGAGCATTACCCAAAGCCTTGCTATGGAAAAATCTCCTCCATAATGCAATATAATCTAATTTTATAGGTATGAACAAACAGTAAATAAATTGGTTATATTCGTGGTGCATTTATGTGATCTTTATAGCAACCTGGAAGGCTTCCTGGAGGAGTTTGCAGATATCTCTAAAGAGGACCAGATAAAGAAGCTCCACGATCTTCTCGGGCCTCACATGCTCAGGAGGCTGAAAGCTGACGTCTTCAAGAACATGCCGGCAAAGACTGAGCTCATCGTCAGAGTGGAGCTCAGTCCCATGCAGAAGTAAGAAACGTTTCCAGTAGGAGTTCACAAACTCTTCTGTGTGTTGATGAGAAACCGGATTCTCCTCTGATTTCTGACCTCCTGCAGGAAATATTACAAGTTTATCTTAACACGAAACTTTGAGGCTCTGAACTCCAAAGGTGGAGGGAATCAAGTGTCTCTGCTCAACATCATGATGGACCTGAAGAAGTGCTGCAACCACCCTTACCTGTTCCCCGTGGCTGCYGTGGTAACCCATTCAATCCATGTCTTTGTTTCAAAACAGAATATAAAATTTCTTCAGTCTGTATTTTTAACACATTCTCACTCCCAACTCGTCACATGTTGACGCTTTTCCAAGGTTCCCCCTGCATCTTATTTTGATGCGTCTGGTAACCCCTTTGCRTCAGTTATTGAYGCACCAGGCATTTCCGGGTTCCCTCGGCGTCCCGTTTTGAYGCGTCGGGACGCAAAATATAGGGGTCTTTGAGTTGGGGTCTGTGGTTAATATTARGGATCAGGGTTCATGGTTAATTTCAGGTAGTGGGGTCGGGGATAGGATGTCTAGGGTAAATATTAGACAATTTTAGGGTTTGGGACACGTAGTTGACATGAATTTCCTACAATTTCTAAAAATGGGATCAGGGTTGATGGTTAATTTTAGGTACTAGTGTCAGGGACAGGATGTCTASAGCAAATAAAGGTAATTTTAGGCTTTGGGACRGTTAGATTTGTGCWTTTTCTACACTTTCTGAAATTATGACAACAGATTCCGCCCCATCTTGTCAATAACTGACGCAAAGGGGGTACCCGACACGTCAAAACCGGACGCAGAGGGAACCTTGGAAAAGCAYCARTATGTGACAAGGTGGGMGTGASAATGGGTATTTTGTTATATTTACATTGCCACTATCATTGTAAATCCTTACTGGTAAGACTGGATCATCTAATTCTTGCTGGTTTTTGTAGGAGGCTCCAGTTTTACCCAATGGTTCTTATGATGGCAATCTGCTGGTGAAGTCCTCAGGAAAACTAACGTTGCTTCAGAAAATGCTGAAGAAGCTTAAAGATGAAGGACACAGAGTTCTTATTTTCTCTCAGGTAATAAATGAATATGGCATTTTGGCAGGAATCTAATGTTTTCACTGGTTGGACGCGTTTTAATAATTCCAAGGTTGTAATTTTGTCTTGTCAGATGACAAAGATGCTGGATCTGCTTGAGGATTTTCTGGAATTTGAAGGRTATAAATATGAACGGATTGATGGGGGGATCACCGGAGGCCTACGACAAGAAGCCATCGACCGATTCAACGGTGAGTGTTTCTGTCAGCTTGGATGGCGTCCTGTCGCCCCGTCCCGCTCACGAAGCCGCTCTCTCCTTTTGTTTTGTGCCACAGCCCCAGGTGCGCAGCAGTTCTGCTTCTTGCTTTCAACACGAGCCGGAGGTCTCGGCATCAACCTGGCCAGCGCAGACACCGTCATCATCTACGACTCCGACTGGAACCCCCACAATGACATCCAAGTACGTCTCTCTCACAGAGCGGGCTCTYTCAAATGCGCTGTCTTCGATTTGTTTAATTTGATCTAACAGTTTATCACTGTCCGATCTTTCGCCCAGGCTTTCAGCAGAGCCCACCGCATCGGCCAGAACAAGAAGGTGATGATCTACCGCTTCGTGACTCGGGGCTCGGTGGAGGAGAGGATCACTCAGGTAGCGAAGAGAAAAATGATGCTGACTCACCTGGTGGTGCGGCCCGGCCTGGGCTCTAAAACGGGCTCCATGTCCAAGCAAGAGCTGGACGACATCCTCAAGTTTGGAACTGAGGAGCTTTTCAAGGATGAAATGGAGGCGGCACGGACAATGGGTACGGATGTTTGTAACACAGCTGTGTTTACACGACTTAAAGAGGAGACTCGAAAAACAGCATTTTTCTGTGAAGCTGTACTGAGCGCTGAGTGCTAAATGAAAAATAATAACTTAAAACTAAAATCAGCAAATCAGTACCTAACAACTTAAAGGAGTATAAACAATAGAGCAAGTAAACAGAAGTACATTTCAGAGAACAAGGTTTTTAAATGAAGTTTTTAAGGAAATAAATAGTATCAATAGCGCACTGTTCTTAATAGTCTACCACAGAAACATCTTTTGTTTAGTTAGAATAAAAATAAGTGAATTATAATCCAGTTGTATTGTAACAAAATTGTATTTTTGCACCAAGGAAGTAATTTCAAAAAGGAAAACAAAGAAGAAACTCCTTTAAATGTCCTGTCACAGTAGACATGCCAACTTAGGAAACAGTTTTTATGTCTAAATTCCTAATAAAAGTTATATATTTGATCAATTTGTTCGAATTATATCATGTACATGCCAAAAAGAAGCTTCCTGTTGATTTTTTTCAATTCCATCTTCAATGTAGACGACTTTAAAATGTTCATAAGTTGGCGTAAGTTGTCTAGTGTGACAGGGTCTTAAGATCAACGTTGAAGTAATTTATTTGCCGATCTTAAAATAACCTAAATTGTGACGTGAGCTAAAAACTAGAGTTTAGGGTCATCTCATTTCTCTCTTTGATGCCTCCTCGTCTTCTCTTTTTTTTTGTCATCTTATTTGAATTACCACTACATGTAGCGATCCTTTAAGAGGAAATCAAAACGTTGCAGTTAATATATAACTGACCTTAGTTTAAAATGGATTATCTCAGGTAAAAATTGTATTCCAGCTGCTCTCCGTGTCCCTTCTGCTTATGGCTTTGAGGGGTAAATAAGTAAAAATAAATACAAATTAATACAGGAGTTTGATCAACCTTTGTGGTAAAAGATACATGGGGTCTTTCTGTGTGGAGTTTGCATGTTCTCCTTGCGTAGGTTTTCTCCAGGTACTTCGGTTTCCCCCCACACCCCAAAAACATGAACAATAAGTTGCCTCCAGGCCCAGGCCTCTCTTGAAAAAGAGATCTATGATCTCAGTGGGATAAGCCTGGTTAAATAATGGTAAAAAAATAAACAAATAAATCAAAAAACACAAGGAACTACTGTATAAATGTGAAATAATTAGTGTGAATTGTTTGGTTTCATTGAAAAAAATAACTTGTCAACTATCGTCACCAGGCGACAACAAAGATGGCGAGGAGGGCAATGTGATTCACTACGATGATGATGCCATTTCTAAGCTGCTGGACCGGAGCCAGGACGCCACTGAGGACACAGAGATTCAGAACATGAACGAGTACCTGAGCTCCTTCAAGGTGGCTCAGTATGTGGTGAAAGAAGAAGACGGAGAGGTGAGAACACAACCACGGCCCTSAGCTAGACAAAAGTGACTAGAAGTCTTTGGCACACTGTAAAACTTTTTTTTTTCTAAATTCTGATTCTAGACATTAGGTTGGTTTAAAAAAGTATCCTGTTTTTCTTATGATGGACAATGTATGAAACAAAGAGGCACGTTCTGACACAACATTTGTGTCTGGATGTTCAGGAGGAGGTGGAGCGAGAGATCATCAAGCAGGAGGAGAACGTGGACCCCGACTACTGGGAGAAACTCCTCCGCCATCACTACGAGCAGCAGCAGGAGGACCTGGCTCGAAACCTGGGCAAAGGCAAACGCATCCGGAAGCAGGTCAACTACAACGATACGACCCAGGAGGACCAAGGTAGGCCCTGTTGGCACGCAGCGCAAAACTGGTTCACACAGTCTGGATTTTACAGTGTTTTTATCAAAAATAACTTTTCTCATCTGTATTATATCAAATAATAGGCATATTTTGCTACTGTATTACTGCCACGGTTTTAAATAGAAAACAGAGCATACATCTGTCTGCTTTGTTAGGATAAAACCCTGCAGATTGAAGGTGATAATGTATTTTAGGGTGTATTCACACCAGGAAAGTCCTTTGGTCTACTTGTTTGGTCCGGACCAAATAATAGACTTTATTTTTTCCTTTGGTGCAGTTTGCAGTCACATTGTGCTTTTTGCAAGTGGACTATAATTTATAAACAAAGCCACGCAGGTGACGGTCATTGCTCCCGTTAGACAGAAATGACAGGAGCAGGACAGACCCAGAAATAAAGATGGTGTTAAAGGGATCCACAATTAGTTGTAACAATAGACTTTATTTAATAAACCTTATTTTAACTGTAAAATAAAGACTGTAAAAATACTGTAGGCTGTTCAGTTTTTAAAATTTTAAACTAAAAGTTTAAAAATACAGTATATTACACGGACGGGACCTTTTTTTATTTACAGGCAAAGCATTCTGGGTAAATGGTGACGTGGATAGGTCATTGGTGCGAGGCTGCTAGCGAGCTATATCCACCCTGAAGGTTAATCTTGGACAATAACTGATGATCGACTCTTTTAAATGAAACCAGAGAGCGTTGACAGAGAGGAGAAATATGGATGGAGGACAACTGAGCTGCTTCATGGAAGAAGAACCTTAGCTTAGCCTGTTAGCTTTAGCATTAGCCTCAACCCTATCACCATATATATGTATTAGCTCAGCGCTACACATTCTCCTCTCGTCACTGAGGTCCTCCATCCACATGACAGAGAGGRGAACRCAGCCTGCAAATGAAAATATGGATGGAGGACCTCACTTTAGCTTGTTTGTCGCGCCAGCGCCGAGCTAATACATATAAGGCAATGGTGTCATGCTAGCGTGAAGGCTAACAGGCTAAGCTGAGGTTCTTCTTCCATGAAGCAGCTCTGTTGTCCTCCATCCATATTTTCAGTTCCAGGCTGAGTCATTTCTACCTTCTCCTCTCTGTCAACGCTCTCTGGTTTCATTTAAAAGAGTCGATCATCAGATATTGTCCAAGATTAACCTTCAGGGTGGATATAGCTTGCTAGCAGCCTCGCACTGAGGACCTATCCACGTCACCATTTACCCAGAATGCTTTGCGTGTACATAAAATGGCTCCATCCATGTTAAAATATATTTTTAAAAATGTACAATACTAAACAGTATTTTTACAGTCTTTATTTTACAGTTAAAATATGTGTTCATTAAATAAAGTCTAATGTTACAACTTATCAGGAATCCCTTTAATACAACTGACTATAAGGAACATGAAGAGCAGCTCAGTCAGTGGCGATTTCACGATGATATATTTCTAATTTTGGGACGGCGTTGTCAAATGCACGCCACAACCTAAAGGAGACGAGATGCTCCACGTTCCCTGACCCACAACGGCTCATTTTTTTTTGTAGCGCAGTGTTAGCGTTAGCATTATTAAAGGGCTAATGTTGCTTTGCAACTGTGGCTCGTGATGTCCAAAAAGGCGCATGTTTCCTATAGTTGGTTCGGTTCGAGGCTGGTTTGTTTTCACACCAGAACCGCACCGGAGTTTGTTTGGAAGCGGACCGAGACCACCTGAATAAGTGGAACTCGGTCCGGATGTTTGATCCGCACCAGGGTTCATGAGTGTTTTCACGTCTGCATAAAAAGGTCCAGACCAACAAACTCTGGTCCGTTTAAAGTGGATCATATGTGCCAGGTGTGATACACCCTTACTGATACATTATCAATACATTATTCAGTGATGATAATCTACACCAGCAGACGGATAACACAGTCAGACGCTGCTGGTAGAAATGGGATGCTTTGCTTTGTGGTGGGCTATTTGAATAACTTGTACAAAGTACCTCCTCTGCTGCAATTAGTATAAAAGTTCAACATCTAGAGAGGCTTTCTAAGTGACTAAAGACACCTTTTCTTTGTCAGTCTTGCATCTTCCTAACTGGATTTAAAACCTTTCTTTTTAGTAGGTCAACGGTTTCTCAGGCAATTGCACTCGATCTTTTAAGAGTGCGTAAAGCAGCTGAGAGTACACTTTAAGTTAACGTGAGAGCTGTATTTATCAAGTCCCCTCAGTTTCAGAGGACAGAGTGGTGCTCTGTTTGCACGCCCAGCTCCACCGTAGTGGTCTGTAGTAATCTGCAGTGCCATGGCGCCCCCAGGTGGCCACCAACAGAAGCGAATGCAATGTACTGTTTCTGTTTGATGTGTTGCTCAGAGTGGCAGGATGATCTTTCAGACAATCAGTCGGAGTACTCCGTGGGGTCCGAGGACGAGGACGAAGATTTCGAGGAGAGGCCTGAAGGTAGGCGGCGTGATTATCCATTAAAATGTTCTGCTTCCTGTAAAACACTACATTGTAAACTTGTAAATAGATGCCCCCTCCCCCTTTTTTTTTTAATGGTGACCTTATTTTCACCCCCAGGTGGACGCAGACAGTCCCGTCGGCAGCTGAAGAATGAGAAAGACAAACCTCTTCCACCTTTACTGGCACGGGTCGGAGGGAGTATCGAGGTATAAATTTAGTTTTGTTTATTTAGTCACTAATATATGGTGGTGATTTATAAAATCATCAGGCCAAAAGAGAGGCTAGTAGCCACTGACATCAAAACAAGAAAGCTCCCCACAATGCAACACTCAGCACCAGAAAYATTTCCACTAACATTTTATTGTTATTTACTTCAATGTTCTTACATTTAGCTGATTTTTACTAAATGTTAAATTTAAATACAAAATATATTGAAATATTAAATATTAAATCTTAATGTTTAAATCTAAATGTAAAAGTTAAACCTTGATTGTTAAAGTTAAATGTTGAAGTTCACATTCTGGTATTTTGGAATGAAACGCAGCCTTTGTTGTTGGTACTCTGTTCATGTTATGATGTCATCATCCGGAGACAATAGCAACCGCTAGCGCTCCAATGCAGCTAAAGCTTCCCTACAAGACATCAAAGTTGCAGTTCTGTCTGGTGTCTGAGCTGCACTTTAAACTTCTGGACCACAGGTACCACCTATATTGTTTTTATGAGCACATTTTGAATTTACATTTTAAATAATGTTGTTAGCAGCGGCTAGTGGTGGCTAGCAGCAGCCATTGTAGGTGTTTGTCGCAGGATGATGATGATGATGACATCCTAGTTACCTGATGCTAACTTCTGCAAACGCTTCTACCAAAATGTGAGCTTCAACATTTAACTGTAACATTTAAGCTTTAATTTTTACATTTAGATTTAAGATTTAATATTTAAATATAGTTTTTAACATTTAAATCTAACATTTAGTAAAAAGGTAGCTAAATGTAAGAACAGTGAGCTACATAATGAAAATATGTTAGTGATTTCGATTTTTCCTTTTTCTTTTGAGTTTAGCAGCTCTTATATTTTCACCTAAACCTATTCTTCGAGCATCAGTTTGTCTGGTTCCCCCATGTTTGTTCACTCACACAGAGCATAACCASCTCAGTGTGGCTCAGTCACGAATCAAGCTTCCCGGTTTTCCGTTTTCGGGGATTTCGCTCTTTCTGAGGCGACTGTTCGCTGTTATCTGCGCCGCGTCATCTCTTTCAAATCTGTTTACACCGTTTTCTCCTCCTTATCATCACAAGGTCCTGGGGTTCAACACTCGCCAGAGGAAAGCCTTCCTCAACGCCATCATGCGCTGGGGCATGCCCCCTCAGGATGCCTTCAACTCACACTGGCTGGTTCGAGACCTCAGGGGGAAAAGTGAGCGGGAGTTCAGGTGACGCCCTAAAATATGGCTTTTATTTTACTGTGACAAGTCAATGATGAAATGTGTGTTTTGTAGTTTTTGTTTGCCAATTTGAAGGAAATTATTGTGCTTCCCCTCCTCTTAATAATAAAAGTGGTTTAACTGTGTGTCTACCATACACACTGTATTATCCGCCTTGTTGCAAACTGGTAGAAAATACGGCATAACTGTATGTTCCTCTTTCTCTTACGATTACTGCAAAATGTTTGTGTTTACCAGGGCCTACGTGTCTCTGTTTATGAGACATTTATGTGAGCCAGGTGCCGACGGAGCAGAGACCTTTGCTGATGGAGTGCCCCGCGAGGGCCTTTCTCGTCAGCACGTTCTCACCAGGATAGGAGTCATGTCACTTGTCAGGAAAAAGGTATGGATTTTCCAACCAGAGAAAATCACTGTGAGATTAGAGATAAAAAAAGTAGGTCTGCATGTGTGGTGTTTATTAAAATACTGTATGTTCCCTGGCTGGTCAACTCACCAGGAAAGGATAAGGATAAAACTTTTGAAATAAGCAGAGGTTTATATTAACTACATTTACTTTGTTACAGTACTTAAGTAATTTTTTTGAGGATTTGTAATTTTACAAAGTATTTTTTTAAATTGTGACTTTTACTTTTACTTAGTTACTTTTAAAACCTAAATATGATACTTTTACTTCTTTACTTTAAAGTTTAACACCTAGTTACTTGCTGTAAATTAAATCTGTCCGAACTCACCATGAAAGGAGTTGTTTATGTGCTCTGAAAATTAAGTGTTGAATTTACTCAACTAAATCCTATCAACTATTTCCACTAAACCTAGTAGAGTAAATTTGAGGTGATATACATATTTTATTTTAAAGAAATTGGCCAATTTAATCAACTTGGTTTTGTGGAGCCGGTTTGTTTCTGTAAATTTAACAGATTATTTGTTAGAGAGCGTGGAAAAGTACTTTTACTTCTACTTTCCCAATTTTTGTGAGCAGTTTTATGACTTTTACTTAAGTAGTTTTCTCATCAGTGACATTTATTATTTTTTTTACCAAAGTCATTTTCTGTTAAGGTATTTTTACTTAGTTATTTTTTTTCAAGAACCGTATTTTTCGGACTATAAGCCACACCCGCCATTTTTAAAAAAAATCCACGAACATTAACATATAAGCCGCACCGGACTATAAGCCGCACCCCTAACATAAAAAAAACAGTACACCCAAATTTGCCGTCAAAAAAGTGAATTCAACATCAAAACATAAAAAGAAAACCTTTAAGAATTAAAGTTCGGAGGACTTCGGTTAGTTTAACTGACGTTATTTTGGTAGTTTTCTTTAACAGTTTCTGGTCCAACAAAACRTCTCATTCATCRTCCTCCKGCGCACTGAAACCATCGAAGTCCTCCTCTTCAGTGTCRGAGTTAAACAAGCTGAGAAAAGCTGCGTCACACAGCAGTATCTGTTCAGTGTTGCTTTCTGTGTCGCTGTCCTCCCGGGGTAATGCTGGCTCTGAAGCTGTGGTGGGAAAGCCCTCCCGCTCCAGCATACGTCACTGCATGGGATTCCTTCCCCGGGGAGTGCAATGCGGGGAAAAAAAGTCAGCAGCTCTTCACTCGACATTTATCCACAAACTGGTCCTGGATTAAGCTCCAAAGTTTTTATCAGTCAGATTCCACCVTGAAAAATGTCTGTTTTATCCCCTTTTATGAGATTTTGGCCACTGACTGTCTTTAAATCGCTGCTTCCTGGTCAACAGTCGGCTCTGGAAGCGATCGCTTTTTTTCTTTTTCCTTTCTTTTTTGAAGCGAGTGGTTGAAGCAAATGGAGCATAAGAGCCCCCTGGTGGCTGAAGAAAAAAAATGCATGTATAAGCCACACCGGTCTATAAGCTGCATGGTTCAAAGTTCAGGAAAAAAGTCGCGGCTTATAGTCTGAAAAATACGGTACTTTATAGACCTCTGGAAATAAGTGATGATTTTTTTTTATAAAATGCTTGCCAGTCAAGTTTGAACCTAAGAAGAGTTGGTGCCTTTTTCTACAGGTGAGGTGAACTGGCTCAGTTTGACTCCTGCACTTTGTACAGTTTCTTCTAATCCCTTTAAGTTGGAGAAAGTGGGGCCACTTCTTGGATTGTCACTAATATAGTTAAACGAGTGTCTTTTCTGCTGCAGGTGCAGGAGTTTGAACATGTAAACGGGAAGCTGAGCTCTCCAGATCTGATTCCTATTGGAATGGAGCTGAAGAAACTGACTGAGAGTGTGTCCTCTGATCCCAACACTCCTGTGCCAGCCAGCCCTGTGGCCACGCAGCCCAGCACCCCCGTCCCACCAGGTCAGAGCAGTGTCTACGTGTGTGTTTATTTTGTTAAAGGGATCCACGATTAGACTTTATTTGATAAACATTTGTTTAACTGTAAAATAAAGATTAACCTCAGTTTAGCTTGTCAGTTTGTTGCACTAGCGCTGAGCTAATAAGGCAGTATAGCACTGGGGCTAAAGCTAAAGCTAACAGGCTAAGCTGAGGTTCTTCTTCCATGAAGCAGCTCTGTTGTCCTCCATCCATATTTTCAGTTCCAGGCTGAGTCATTTCTACCTTCTCCTCTCTGTCAACGCTCTCTGGTTTCATTTAAAAGAGTCGATCATCAGATATTGTCCAAGATTAACCTTCAGGGTGGATATAGCTCGCTAGCAGCCTCATGCCGATGACCTAGTTGATGTCATCATTTACCCAGAATCCTTTGTGTGTAAATAAAATGGCTCCGTCCATGTTAAAATATATTTTTAAAAATTTACATTACTAAACGGTATTTTTACAGTCTTTATTTTACAGTTAAAATATATGTTTATCAAATAAAGTCTAACGTTACAACTAATCATGGATCCCTTTAATAAAATATGTCAAGAACCAACATCTACACCTCATTTGGAGGTGATCCTGTTCAACAAAACAAACAACAGCTATAACTCAGCCAATGTTATACATGTATTTTTTTTTTTTTTTGTGAATGTGAACAGAACAATTTAAAAATCAAGAAAACAAAGTGCTAAGCTGTTGTTTTGTGGGCTGTAGGAACAGAGTCTTTCGTGGGTAACGCTGAGGACAAGGAGAGCACAGAACAAGATGGAAAGAAATCTTCAGAGCAGGAGGTGTGTTGTGTTTTAACCTCCACTACCCTTTCCTTTTACTCCCTTCATCTTTACAGACTGGTCCATCATCTCACGAACCGTCCCGCTGAAAAATAACCCATTTTATTCACCTCAGGAGACGCTTGTTGTTTCAATTTCAGACACCTGTTAAGTTGAGCCTTTGCTCCCCCTTGTTACCCAATCCATTCCCACCCCCAGCAGGCTTCCAGCGCTGAGCCAGCCTCTGCACCTGACAGCGAGGAGAGCAAGGCCAGCTCGGAGGAGAAAACAGAAGATGAGAGGAACAGAACCAAGTCCCCCGCCGCCAAGGCCGAGCCGTGCGCTCACCCGAAAGAGCCCACGTTCAAGCAGACGGAGCCGCCGTCCAGTCACGCCTCGCCGAAGAGTGAGTGGCTTCGTGACTCGCCACGCCACACCACGCCGCGCCACCGCTCATCTGCGCGGCTGCGTTTCGTACGCCTAATCTTTTGTTTCTCTCATCCTCAGCGGACCCCTGCAAAGAAGTCGAGAAACCCTCCGAAAAAGGAGACGCCGGCTCTCCCCGGGAGAAAAGCGAAGACAAAGAAAATAAGCCAGGTACACGTCGCAAATTCTCGAATGAAAGCGAGCACAAAAAGGCAACAAAAGCTGTGCTCCTGAAGGAAAACGTCTCGTTTATTTGTAGTCACATTACACAGCCATGTTTTAAGGAAACATCCTGTCTTTTGTGTGACTCCTGCAGATGATGTGAAGAGCGAGGCCGCGTTAGAGGGAAGACTGAATGGAGACAAAGACACTTTGGATGAGATGGATGAGAGCAGAAAGGAGGAGAAAAATGGGTTCAAAGCCAAGTTTATGTTTAATATTGCTGATGGAGGTTTTACCGGTGAGAAAAACACCTTCGGTTAGTTTAAAAAGGGGAGAAGAGTGGATCGTAGAAGGGTCTTTTTTAGAAGTTTTTCATGCCTCTCACATAAAGGCACTGAATAGGTTCATGTTTGTGTGACAGGAACAAGATGCAGTTATTCAGATTTTACATTAAAATATAAATCAATCATTGATATTGATAGAAAATTGATGGTGTTTAGTGGAGTTAGGGTTAGACATAATATTATAAAATTAAATTTATATGTAGTTGAAATTGAAAGAGTACCTGAAATAAAATATTTGAGAATAATTGTTGATGAAAAACTATCTTGGAAGTCACATATAGAGTAAATCAGACCAAAAAATATCAAAATCGGCTGCAATTATTTTTAAAACCAAAGAATTTTAAATAGAAGTTGTCTGCGTACACTTTTTTTTTCACTTGTAGTGCCATATATGTCCTATTGCGTGGCGGTTTGGGCTAATGTTTATAAAACCAATATAGATCCGATAGTTAAACTTCAAAAAAGAGTAATTAGATTAATAAATAATGCCGGCTTTTTTGATTCCACAAACCCATTGTTCTTAGTCTTCTGCTTTAAAATTTAGTGATATAGTGTATTTAAGAACACTGGAGATACTATATTGAGTAAGAATAAATGGTAACGCTTTCTTTTACAGTACCCTTATTACCATGTAATTACAAGGTTAAAACAAACTGTAATTAAATGTAATTACTACCATATTACCATGTAATTACAAGGTTAAAAAAACTGTAATTAAATGTAATTACTACCATATTACCATGTANAAACTGTAATTAAATGTAATTACTACCATATTACCATGTAATTACAAGGTTAAAAAAACTGTAATTAAATGTAATTACTACCATATTACCATGTAATTACAAGGTTAAAAACTGTAATTAAATGTAATTACTACCATAATACCATGTAATTATGTGGTAATTAAGGTACAAAAGAAAAACTACTGTTAGTAAAACTACTTTTATTGGGTAACTGCAATCAAATTACTATTCAATAATAATTCAACACTATATTATAACCAAAAGAATGCAAATWAATTTTGGGGTTAGTGGTTAATTGCAATAAATTATTACTTTAAAACAGTTCGAATTACCTACTACTTATTTAGGTGTTACGTAGTGAATTGTAATACATTACCAGGTAAGTGCTACATTACTGCAGACAATTAATTACATAGTAAAATTGTACCCTAATTACCACATAATTACATGGTAATAAGGTAGTAATTACATTTAATTTCATTTTTATTACCTTGTAATTACATGGTAAAAAGGGTACCGTAAAAGAGAACTTTAGCGAATAAAAAGTCTTCCTGATGGTATTCAAAGAWTTTTTTAAGTAACGGGAAAATAACAGCAGTGGGCAGCACTAATCTAAAAATTAGTTGCACTAACCCTAAACCACTAACTCAAATATTTAGGTCCCCTAATTCTAAAGCACTGACAATTTCTWGCGAAAGCTAACTCTAAAGCACAAATATAACCCAGTTGACCCCTGGAACATTCTTCAGTGAACATGAGACAATATTTACTGTGTGCAGAATGTTGTCACTCAGTGCCCTTGGTGGGCCAAATGAGAGTCACCCACAGGCCACATTTGGCCCGCGGGCCTTGAGTTTGACACATGTGACCTTGTAGATAAGTGACACACATATGAACAAAATGTATAACAGCTTTCACTCTCAAATGTGAATTTAAAGACCTCAGTTAGTGCTTCTAAATTTAGCCCATAAATTTAGCAAGTGCTAATCCGCTAATAAATTTTAAAAAATAGCAAAATCCCTAAAGCACTAATCAGGAAATTAGTTCCCCTATTAGTGCTTTAGGGAACTGTGCCCACCACTGGGAAATAATTACAATTTAAGTGGTTTCTTTATCTTAGAAGTACATAAAGTAACAACAAATATCAAATACAGATGTTTTTCAGTATTGGGTGTTAAGCTGTGGAATAATTTAAGTGATGAAATTAAGTTTAGTGACTCTTTTAGGTTCAAAAAGAAGTTAAAAAGTAAATTAATTATGAGTTCTGGTTTATAGTAGTCAGTTGTGATGACGGTGGTGGTAATATATTACATATTTTGTAGCATGTACGGACAGTAATAATGATATTGTTGATAAAAACGGTATTAATGATTTGTATTTTGTGTATACTTTATAAAATGGTGCAAATAACCAGGATGTACCTCAACCTATTTGGACATATAGGGTTAAAGTAATGTTTGTTTTTGTGTGGAGTGTTCTTCAACATGACCAAATAAATTCATTCATTCATTCATTCATTCATTCATTCATTCATTCATTCATTCATTCATTCATTCATATACAGCAGATAAATTTAAAGGCTATGCTGTTTATATTTGACTAAAATTGGATGTTGCACATCATAAAGTAATTTATCTTATCTTTAGATAGATAAATCAATATATGTTTGCCAGCAGGAAACTTTTTAATACTTTATTTTAGAGCTCAAATGTTTCCCTGTCAGTGTATTTTTGGTCACATAGGGTAGAAATAAAAAAAATAACATTGTTTTGTTATTAATCTTGTTTGATGCTTTTCAGTCTCTCTAAAAGATGGAAACGTCCTGAATGTATGTTTTTTTATTTTATCTACTTATTTATTTATTTCTTGAAAACTGTCTGTTTTTGCTGTCAGAGTTGCACACCCTCTGGCAAACAGAGGAGCGAGCGGCGCTGTCTTCTGGAAAAATACATGACATCTGGCATCGTCGCCATGACTACTGGCTGCTGGCTGGCATCGTAACGTATCCTTTCTCATGTCGGAGYCAAAAGCTCAGCATCTCAGCAAAGTAATGTAATTACTTACGACAGGAAGGAGCCGCAGCGGGGGGGCAGAAAAAAAGGCTGATCTTTACAAAATGCGATGAGTGATTTGCAGCCAGGCTTTCCACAAACACACACCTCGGTTTGATTTGATGAATTTCATCAGCTTTCATCCTGTGCTCCTGTTTGTTTTCTCTGACTGGGACTTTCTATCAGACATGGCTACGCTCGCTGGCAAGACATTCAGAATGACCCCCGTTACGCCATTCTCAACGAGCCGTTCAAAACTGAGATACACAAGGGCAACTACTTAGAGATGAAGAACAAGTTCCTGGCGCGCCGCTTTAAGGCAAGCTGAGACCGGATTTTGTTTAAATGACAACTAATATCCATATTTGTCAGTTGTTTCTGTAGGTTTCCTGCAGTTTAACTAATGTACTTTTTCATACTTTGGGCTTTTTCAATCATATCAAAACATTGGCTCAGCCAACTCATTTCTTGGATGGCTACTTTTTACTTCTACTCGAGTAAAAATATGTGAAGTAGTGCTACCGTTACTTGAGTACAATTTTTGGGTACTGTTCCCACCTCAGGTCATGAGATTGGTGTTATAAATTTTGATAACTGTAACTTTTATACTTTTCAAAATAATATTTTCCACATATAAATCTTCAGTTCCTTCAAAAAATATTCTCTTTTAAAAGCACATTTGCTTTGTTTGTTTCTTAAAGTGCCTGTGACATAATTTTTTTGTAATAAATATGAATGCATTTTTGGAAAGTTAACATTGACAACATATTGTAAAAAAGATTTTATGCAGCTGAGATGAACAGTTGTTGAGATATTTGCATGTGAAGTAACAGGAAGTGATGTCAAAGGGGAATGTCTGCATGTGAACAGAGCGTTGCTACAAAGGCCGAAAACACAGACTGTAGAGAAAAATACGATGTTTCTTCACATTATTTTAATTACTATAGTAGAGAGATGAGGAAGAGTCAGAGTTCAAAAAATATTGTTTTATTAAACAAAAACCAGAGAGTTTTATTTCTTGAAGAGTTCCCCTTTGATGTCACTTCCTGTTTCACTTTGTCTGAGCAAAGTTCAAAAGAAAACATGCCAATAATGCGACATAATTGGTAAAATCATGTGTATTATACCAAGTTTCTTAAATATAAAAATGTTTTCTTTGACTTTTTGCATTTCATGGTATGCATGTCACAGATCCTTTAAGCTACTTACATTTTTTGTAATCATTTGGCTACTTTTAGCTTTTAGCTACTGTTTTGCTACTTTTAGCATCTAACTAGTTGTTTGCTACTTTTAGTTTTTGGCTAGCTTTTTTAGCTTTTAGCT